GGGGGGGGGGGGGGGGGGGGGCTCAGCAGGCTGGAACTCCCATTCCCCGGAAGACCTCCACCCACAGGCGTCTAGGCACTGGGGCCACACACACAGGGTGGGCTTGGGCCCATCAAGCCCCAGCCCCACTGATGACCTTAGCCTTAAGGAAGTTGTTCGGTTAGTGAGTCCCCAGCAACTCAGGCTTCCGGCATCTTACCCAAACCTTCCAGAACCTCCTTCCCACCCAGAAAGGGAACTGAAAGCGCTGTGGTGGTTGTCTGTCGTCACCCCTCAGCTTCCTGACTGCTCCTCACACCAGACTACCTACAGGCCCCAGAGCCTCTGGGTGACGGTCACTGCTGAACCCTGGAGACTGACACCTAGGCCCCAGCTGACAGGCTTCGGACTCTTAAGTCCTCGACAACCCTGGCTGCCTCCCTCCGGCCTCAGTTGCCAACGTGCCCCACAAACTCCCCGTTCCGCGCGCCCGGGTACCCTTGTGCACACGCACCCACTCGACCACTGCCCGGTTTGCTCGGCCCTCAGCCCGCCGTGGTTCCGGATCCAGACCAGTCCGGGTAAGGAAGCAGGCGCTGACCACCAGGGCGGGCACAGGAGGCAGGGAGCACGGCGGGATGGGACCCGGACGACCGCCGAGCACGCACCTGCGCCGGAACCTAGGGACGCGAACCCGCGAAATGCGGGGGCGCAGCCGAGAGGGCTTCCGGGAGTGAGGGCGGTGCCCGCGGACTTCCGGGTTAGTGGACGGATCGGGCCATCGGGGGCGGGGCGCCAGTGACCCGCGCCGGGCGAGTGAGGCCTCATTTTCTGCACTCTCGGGGGCGGGAATTCAGCGCGGTCTTCGCCTGGGCGGAGGGCCGGGGGGCGGGGCCTGGGGCGGGGCCTGGGGGCGGGGCGGCACTTGGAGTTAACCCGTGGCGTGCCAGAGAGGGCCTGGCTACCTGTGCCGCGCGTGGGGTCAGCCCCCAGGGGGAGTCAGTCAGGAGGAATGGCGCGTAGTTTGTTCTCGGGACGCAGCCGCCAGCGGCATGGGACGCCGAAGCCCGGCTCGTAGGTGTCCAGTACAGCGATTGTAAAAGCTCACCGCATTGTCTCCACCGCGTGATCGTGGCTGCTAGAGCGGCATGCCGAGGCTGGGGTTTCTGTTACTTTACCTTTCTCTTCAGGTTCTTTGGTATGTGTTTCATAATCTAATGACCGTGTGAAATAGATATCGACGTGCGTAGTCCTGGAAATTTTGACCATATATGGGTACATTATAAGAAATTTTTAAATTATTTTTTTGTGTATGCGTGTATTGCCAGCATGTGTCTAAACGCACCCGTGTTGGGCAATGCTTGAGGTCAGAAAAAGGCGTCGGTTCTCCTGGAACTGCTGGAGTTACAGATGGTTGATAGCCGCCATGTGGGTGCTGGGAATGGAGCCCAGGTCCTCTGCAAGAGCAGCCAGTGCTTTTAACCTCTCTAGTCCCACATTATAAGAAATCTGAAGGCAGGGTGTGCTGGCGCACGCCTTTTATCCCAGCACTCTGGAGGCAGAGGCAGGCAGATCTCTATGAGTTCAAAGCCAGCCTGGTCTGCATAGTAAGTTCCAGGCCAGCTGGGGCTACAGGGAGACCCTGTCTCAAAAAGACCAAAAATTCATATGGAACTGACTTAATAACGCAGAAAACATTAGTTACACGTGTGATTTCTCCTTTCCTACCTCTGTGAGCCAAAAAAAGGCTTATACTTAACACAACCATTCTGCAAATGTTAAAGGAGCAAATTGTATCTGATTTGGTTAAAATCCTGCTGGAGGCCAGACACTATGATCCATATCTGTAATCCCTAGAAACAGTGACCAAACCTGAAGCAACATGCAATTCCAACACCCACCTTGTGGATTGATTGATTGATTTATTGGGTTTTAGTGAGACAGTCTCACCATGTAACCCAAGCTGACTTGGAACTTACAGCAATCCTCTTGTTGGGATTTTGCTGCAGCTAACTACTCCTGTGGAGAGGCATTTTCTCCTTCCAACTCTAGGTTCTGAGGATTGAGCTCAGGCCATCAGGCTTGCCTGCAAGTGCTTTACCCACTGAGCCATCCTGCTGGCCCCTGGGGCATTTTCTATCACTCTGCTCCTTACTTTCCTTCTTCCCATGAGTTCCAAGTCTTTGGATCCCAGAATTGGCTCTTCAGCACATACCTGGTTTGCACCCTCTTTCCCTTCTGGCCTCTAGCTGTTGGGAACAGTAAGCCAACACTTGCACCTCATCTTTCTTACTGTCCACTTTTCCCAGAGCAAGGGCCATGTCAGTGGTGTCACAGCCTGCTTACGGTCCCATTTTGTATATGCCACTTTGTGGGGTCACACCTCTTCTATGGTCCACCAGCCCTTTCAACATGCTCCCATATCATGTGGCAGACTTCATTCATCAAGGAGGCACATAGAAAATGGTCACTGTTGTAGAATCCAGTCCTCTGAGCAAAACAGCCTCCATCTTCATCAGATCAGCTATGCCAGCTTGGAGAGACCATCCCAATCTGGTCTATTGACTGTGGGCATCCCCTCAGAGAAGGGGTGGGAAGAGTCACTGGACCCTGAGATCCCAGCCCTCCTCCCAGCCCTTGGTATGCAGGTCTGCCCAACTGCAAGATTGAGGCCTTGGATCTCTCTGGGGAAGGTTAACTGAAGGGGGTACTCCTTCCACTGTGGAGTCTGTGGCTGTGGCTGCTATAGGGAAGCCATCATCCATGCTGGGCAAAGACTTTCCACTATTAGTAGCTTTGGGGCCACCCATGCTCTGTAAGTAAACCCAGATGACAAACTCATTGGTTTCCCAAGGTGAACTCACAGCAGTCTCCCAGAGACTCCTCCCATGGACATTCCACTTTCAGACACAGCAGCCCTGTAGCAGGGCTAGTGCCCTTCCACACCACACAGAACAGCCATATCAAGATTGCCCCACAGGTGCTCCACCTAGACACTGCTTAGCTTTAGTGGGGGAGAGAGTTTATTCTGGAGCCAAATATGAGTGACCATGGCCCAGGAACACAGATTCAGGTCACCCCAAATTCCATGTTCCAGCGTGGTAACAGCTTCATGAAATTTTTATAGTAACAGAACAAAGAAAAGTCATAAATCAAGACACTTTTCAAATACATTGGTGGAAACAAGTAGGGTGAGTGATTCAGCAAAAGAGAAATCTCAGCTCAGATGCTCACTGATGCTTTTTGATGGGTGGGAACTGTTTCTTTTGTCAATACATTCTATTAGTCACAAGAACATTAAGTCAGAAGGGAGGAGGGCAAGGAGTGGCTATTTGTGGCTAAATGTGGCCATAGATAAAATGTAAGTAGGCTCCAGATCTGTTCCAAACTCCCTTTCCTCACTGAAGCACTAATCAGTCAGTTGATCAGCCTTGCAGGAAGCACTAATCAGTTAGTTGATCAGCCTTGCAGGAAGTTCAGTCCAAGATATAGGATTCCCCAGAACTTTTCATCCACTGTGGCATGCCTTATCACCCACTTCAGACACAATGCAAGTGCTCCTCCCAAATTCATCTTTGGTTCCTTTGTATCCCTGTGAGGGCACCTTGTAGTGCAGGAACTTCTCCTCTGGGGCAATAAACAAACGTTTACTCACCCCAGATAAAGTCCCTATGACAGACAAGTAGGAATTCCACTCAAGTTCACCTTGGTGAACCTACAAGTTTATTGAGCTCACTTACAGGAGCATGGGTGAGTTTCTTTTAATATTGTTCAGTGTCGAGTCAGAGTCTCATTATGTGATCTTGAACTCATGGAAATTCTGCCTCAGTCCCCAAATGCTGGAATTATAGGCTATTATGGAATGTTGTCTGTCTGTACTTATGAGTGTGTATGTGTGTGTGTCTGTGCATGTTCATGTGGGGTGGGGGGGGCACACTGTGTGAAGGCAGGCCAGAGATCAACCTCAGCAGTCAATTCAACTTTTTTTTTCCAGACAGAATCTTACTGACTGGTCTGGAGCTATGTAGATCAGACTGACCTTGAATTTACAGAGATTCACCTGCCTCTGTTTTTGAAGTGCTGGGATTAAAGGTGTACCACCACATCCAGCCACCCTCTTTTTTGAGACTGTCACTGGGACCTGGGATCCCCAGGGATCCTTTCTGTCTCTGCCTCCCCTGCACTGGGATTACAGGCCCACATCACCATGTCTTACTTTTTAAAAAATTTGTTTTATTTTTATGTGTATGAGTGTGTTGCCTGCATGTAAGTAAGTGCACCCATGTTGTACAATGCTGGCGGAGGCCAGAGAGGGCATCGGATACCCTGAAACTGGGGTTAAGATTGTTAGCTGCCATGTGGGTGCTGGGAATTGAACCCGGGTCTTCTGCAAGAACAACCAGTGTTCTTTTTTTTTGTCTTTTTGAGGCAGGGTCTCCCTGCAGCCCCAGCTGTCCTGGAAATCACTATATAGACCAGGCTGGCCTCGAACTCACAGACATCCGCCTGCCTCTGCCTCCCAAGTGCTGGGACTACAGGCATGCGCCACCACGCCTGGCTACAACCAGTGTTCTTAACTGCTGAGCTATGGCTCCGGCCCCCATGTCTGACTTTTATGTGGGTGCTTGGAATTGAACTGAGATCTTGATGCTTGTGCAGCAAGCACTTCACGGAACGCTCCAGCCCTGCCCAGTGCCTTTTTTGTTTTGGTCTTTTTCGAGACAGGGTCTGTCCATAGCCCCAGTTGGCCTGGAACTGACTAGACCAGGCTAGCCTTGAACTCACAGAGATTAGCCTGCCTCTAACTCCCAAGTGCTGGCTTTATGTGTTTTGCCTGCATCTATGTAAGTGCACCACACTGCTCACAGAGGCTAGATGAGTGTCAGATACCCTGGAACTGGAGTTTCAGACAGCTGTTAGCCACCATGTGAGTGCTGGAAACTGAACCTGGGTCCTCTGTAAGTGCAGCCAGGGCTTTTAACCACTGAGCCATCTCTCCAGCCCCCATTCTTTTCTTTTTTTAAAAAATTTTATTATTTTTTTTATTCTATGTGTATGCATGTATTGCCTGCATGTGGGTAAGTGCACGCATGTCAAGCATTGCCGGCAGAGGTCAGAAGAGGCTGTCAGATCCCCTGGAACTGGAGTTACAGTTGTTAGCTTCCATGTGGGTGCTGGATTGAACCCGGGTCTTCTGCAAGAACAACCAGTGTTCTTAACCGCTGAGCCATCTCTCCAGCCCCAGTATTCTTTTCTTAAAGACATCTCAAATAAGAATGGGCTGGGAAGATGGCTTAGTGGGTAAAGGGCTTGCTGTGCAAGCATGGGGACCTAAGTTCAAGATCCCCAGCACGCTTGGGGAAGTCCGGCATGGAAGTGCTCATCTGTAAACCAGGTGCTGGGGAAGCAGAAACAGGCAGATCCTGGGGGCTTGCCAGCCAGTCAGTCTAGCTGGAACAGCAAGCTCCAGGTTCAGTAAAGAGATCCTGCTTAGAAAATGTGAAAAGCAGGGCTGGAGAGACAGCTCAGCGGTTAAGAGCACTGACCGCTCTTGCAGAAGACCTGGGTTCAATTCCCAGCACCTACATGCCGGCTACAAACCATCCTTAACTCCAGTTCCAGGGGAATCAGAAGACCTCTTCTGACCTCTATGGCATTGCATGACATGGGTGCACTCACATACATGCAGGCAATACACCATACACATAAAATAAAAATAATAAATAAAAAATGTGATAAAGCTGGGCTGGAGAGATGGCTCAGGGGTTAAGAACACTGAAGACACGGTTCAAATCCCAGCACCCACATGGAAGCTAACAACTGTAACTCCAGTTCCAGGGGATCTGACAGCCTCTTCTGTATTCCTAGGGCATTGCAGGACAGGGGTGCAGTTATCTACATGCAGGCAATACAAACATACACATAAAATAAATAGGCCGGGCATGGTGGCCCATGCCTTTAATCCCACCACTTGGGAGACAGAGGCAGGCGGATCTCTGTGAGTTCAAGGCCAGCCTGGTCTACATAGGGAGTTCCAGGACAGCTGGGGCTACAGGGAAACCATGTCTCAAAAAGACCAAAAAAAA